CTTAATTTTTGAATTTGCAACTCTAACTTCAGGACCAAGTGTCCTTAATTTTTGAACTTTCACTCTAAGTTTAGGACCAATTATCCTTAACTTATGAGCTTGTTACTCTAAGTTTATGACTAATTGTCCTTTAATTTATGAGCTAGTAAGTCTAAGTTCAGGACCAAGTGTCCTTAATTTTTGAACTTCCACTCTAAGTTCAGGACCAATTGCCCTTATCTTATGAACTTGTTACTCTAAGTTCATGAATAATTATCCTTTAATTTATGAGCTAGTAAGTCTAAGTTCAGGACCAAGTGTCCTTAATTTTTGAACTTCCACTCTAAGTTCAGGACCAATTGCCCTTATCTTATGAACTTGTTACTCTAAGTTCATGAATAATTATCCTTTAATTTATGAGCTAGTAAGTCTAAGTTCAGGACCAAGTGTCCTTAACTTTTGAACTTGTAATTGTAAGTTAAGGACATCCTGTCCTTAAATTTTGAATTTGCAACTCTAACTTCAGAATCAAGTGTCCTAAACTTATGACCTTGTTACTGTAAGTTCAGGACCAAGTGTCCTTAATTAGAAATTGAGGACTAACTTATAAACTTTCTAACTTTGATATTTTCAAAATTTTCAGGGGACAAACTGATATATATACTGAGGATAATGGTGTGAGAAAGAATCCATATAAATTATACCATCAAAAAATCAGTTGAAAAATGTTCTTCCTTGAGCTTGCAGATAGTAGCTTTGTACTTGATGATAAGGTTTGATAATTCACAAGGCATTTGTTTTCTTTCTTCTTAATTTATTGTTTTTTAATTATTTATGACTGATGGATTTTTTTCTTTTTTTGCCTTTTTATGAAGCATATTGATATTGCCCTGTATTATTTGAGAAAGAATGAATGCTACCATCCTTGCGCCCATCCTTTTCGTTGCACAACTACAGATATACTTTTTGATAACTATATGCTAATTGTGTATAAGGATTTCAATGAAGATGCTTCAGATTTGTTTTGGTGTGATGATAATCAGTTGGTTCTCACACCATATGTGTGGGGTAACAATCATAGATGTGGAATTGCTTGGACAGAGGTTGACAAAATCTTTTTTCCATGTCGGCTTCCTTCAGAAGATAATGATGTTGTGACACATTTTCTTTTGGGGGTATTGGACTTGAATGAGAGAAAGATTGATGTGTACGATTCCATATATAGTGAGCCATATGAGCAAGGAATGAAACACATTGAAATGTATGCACGCATGATCCCCCACTTGCTAAAGTTCTCACAGTTTGAGAAAAATCACAAGTCTTTTGGAAATGCATTCAACAAATTTGATATTCAGTGGCAAAGATCACCACACCAAACTGGATCGTACGTATTGTCATTTGCTATATAATTTATATGTATTTTAGATTTATTTTATTAAAGATATTATTTAATTGACTCCATATTTTTCTTAGGACTGATTGTGGTGCATTCCTAATCAAGTATGTGGAGTTGTTGATGATGGGAAAGGATGTGGAGAAATTCCAACCTGAGGACATATCAAACTTCAGAAAAGAACTTGCAGCAAATCTTTGGGCACATGGAGAGTGGAAAAGAAATTCTGGTTATGATACACCACCAGAAAATGTCGGCGACGACTATGATAGTGAAAATGAAACTTCCTGCCCAAAGGAGCTGTAGTGTAGTTGTAAAGAAAGTCAGCTGTAGTGAAATTGGTATAAAATTATTATAAAGAATCCATATAAATTCTGAAATATCTTGTAAATTGTCACAAGGCACTTTATTTTGTTTGCATAGCATAATATTTTGGTCACAGCTATGCTAAATTACAGTTTCAGCAGTAATATGAAGGCATCGTGTTATTAATTTCTTTCTTTCTGTTAACTATTGATTTGTCCATTTTTTCACAGTTTTAAAGGGCCAATCTTTGATTAAATTGTCTTGAAGTTTTTAGAAATTCAAAGCAACACACATTGATTGTTGTAGAACTTCAGAATCTGTTAACTACATCCTTATTTGTTGAAGGATGAAAATAATATTCAAGACATATTTTTTTAAATGTGCTAAACTTCTGGAATATAGACAATAAACTGAGATTTCCAGAAGTTAAGGACATTTTAGAAATTTATGTCCTATATATTAGATTCATACTTCAAATGTTCAGGACGTTTCAAAAAATTATGTCCTGAAGTCTACTTGTACCAATCTCATTTTAAAAATAAGATATAGCAAGCTGTGTTTAGCAAGCTGCAGATGTCAATTTTATAACTACTGATTTATCCATTTTAAATTGCCAGTTTTTTATTAAATCTGTAGAGATATAGCAAAAGATACATTGATTATTGTAGAACTTCAGGACATTATATTCATAAACGTCTTGATTTGTTGAAGGATGAAAATAATATTCAGGACATATTTTTCTGAAATGTCCTGAACTTCTGAAAATCTAGATAATAATCTGAGATTTCCAGAAGTTAAGGACATTTTAGAAATTTATGTCCTTAATATTAGATTCATACTTGAAATTTTCAGGACTTGTAAAAGATTATGTCCTTAAGTTTTACTTGTACCAATCTCATTTTAAAAATAAAGATGTAGCAAGTTGCAGGCGTCAAATTATATAAATAAAAGGACTTTCTTGTTTACTTACGGTAAGAATAAAATCCCATAAACAATAATTGGTCCGACAAAGGTAAATTGAACTCCCAGAAAAAGAAAAAGAAACAAAGAGCAAGTAAGTGCAAAGAAACTTTAAAAATTCAGGACATCTTTTATATAACCATCTGCTAATGTTTACTTGCTCAAATAAAAAAAATCTAAATGAATTCAATTTATAGCAAAAACTTAAAAGAGTAGATAAACATAAGTGGATATATCTATTATTCTCTATGCTTCCTTGAAAATGAATGGACTGCCGGAGAATATATACAAAATATTCTATTATGACCAATTCTTCTGCAACGACCACATGTGAATTTTATTTTTGATGATTCGGTAGCTGGAATATGCCTTTTCTTCTGCCTTCTACCTGGCGGGAGTTTGAAATCTGGAGGTTTAATAATTTGTGACTTAACACTCTCTGGTACAATCCAAGAATCCGTATGTCCTACAGGATGTATTTGTAATGACCCAACCGGTTATTTTAACTTTTAGAACCATGTTCCCTAAAATAAAAACTTCTCGTAGGTGCTTGTAATGATTTATGACTTGCGGGGATGGTTGGTTCGGGATTTGGAAGTGTTTGGGGTGATACCGGAACACTTGGTTCCTTAAGTTGGCCTTAAAGTGTTAAGTTTGACTTCGGTCAACATTTTGAGAAAATGACCCCAGAATAGAATTTTGATGATTCCAACAGCTCCGTATGGTAATTTTGGACTTAGGAGCGTGTTCGAAATTTTATTTGAAAGTCCGTAGTTAAATTAGGCTTGAAATGGCTAAAAACAAGAATTTAAGTTTGGAAGTTTGACCGATGAGTTGACTCTTTGATAGGTTCCGACATCGAATCTAGAAGTTGAAAACTCTTAGTTTCATTAAGCTTGAATTGGGGTATGATTCATGGTTTTAGCGTTGTTTGATGTGATTTAGAGGTTCGACTAAGTTCGTATGATGTTTTAGGACTTGTTGGTATATTTGGTTGAGGTTCCGAGGGCCTCGGGTGAGTTTTGGATAGTTAACGGATCAAAAGTTGGACTTAAAAAGCTACTGCAATTTTCCCTTTTGCTGTATATTCTGGGCTGTGATCGAGCCCCAAATTGAACCCTAGATCGAACCCAAATATCGAGCCCACGATCGAGTCTTGAGTCGAAGCCAGGGACGAGGCTCAGTATTGAAGCCACGATCGAAGGCAAGGCTCGAGAGCCATGATCAAAGGCAAGGCTCGAGGGCCAGGATCAAGACCCAAGATCGAACTTGATCGAGGCCATGACCATGTCCCAGGCTCGAGGCCTGATCGAGGTCATGACCAGCTCCCAAGATCGAGCTCCCTGAGATCCAGCTCCCTGAGATCCAGCTCCCGAGATCGAGCTCCCCTGATCGAGCTCCTTGATCGAACTGGACAGAGCTGTAAGTTATAAAAACAGAGGACATTCGTCCCATTTGCCATTTTTAACGCACTTGAGCTTGAGCAGAGGCGACTTTTGACAGATTTTCAAGGGAAAAATATTGGGGTAAGTGATTCTAACTCGGATTTGGTCTACATATACAAGTATATCATTGTTTTCACCATAAATTAGTGTTTTGAGATTAAAATTTGGGAATTTTTTAGAAATCTCATAGAAATGAATTTTTGAGATTTCGGTATCGATTCAGAGTCGGATTTGAGTGAAACTGGTATAATTGGACTTATAATTGAATGGGTTGTCGGATTTCATAACTTTTTTCGAATTCCGAGACGTGGGCCCCACGGACGAATTTTTAATTAATTTCGGGATTTTTATTAAAAATGTAGTATTTTCTTATAGAATTGATTCCTATAATTTTTAGTGATTGTATCGAATTATTTTTGGCTAGATTCGAGCAGACAGAGTTGGATAATCATGGAAAGTGCCTTATAGTGGATTAAATTGGAGCAAGACGAAGTAAGTCTCTTGTCTAATCTTGCGAGGGGGAAATTACCGCATAGGTGATTAAAATTAAATAATTATTGCTAATTATGGGGGCTACGTACGCACGAGGTGATGGGAGTCCGCGCGTAGCTACTATTAATGCTAAAGTCCGGGTAGTTTAGGAATCAAAGCATGCATTACTTGTGTAAATAGTATTCTTTGATTAATTAATATTAATTGATATATATGAATATTTAGTGAATTGTTAGATAAAGATATTAAAGGATGAAAATCTCATAGGCTTGATTTTGTTTAAATCAATTAATTATTAAAAGAAATTGTTCTCCTCCCGAATTTATCTTATAATAAATATACTCTCCTTCCAGAGGCACATAAGAAAATATCCTCCTTTCTTGTGGAGCGGGCCGAATGCTTCGGCAAGATAGATGCATCTATGGATCGCGTCGCACGTCCCTCGACAGTGTACACGACATTCTGGATCGGGCCGTACGTCCTAGGCAGAAATCATGCCTAATAATAATAATTACACGATACTTTAATAATTTATTTTAGCTTGTGAAGCTAATTAATAAATTAAAAAATCTTTGGAATTTTATGAATTATTATTCTTGCTTGTTAAGGAATTAATTGTTACTCCTGTAAATGAGATTCAATTGATAAATTGGAAATTATTTGAATTGAAGGAATTTAATTAATATATTGGGAATTGTTACATTCGAAGGAATTTGATTATTTTTGCTGATTGAATAAATTATTGTAAATTTTGTAAATCATGCTGATTTAAATATCCTAGTTTTATCTCAGTTATTATTGACCCATAGTGAGTGTCAAAGTCGGCCATCTCGTCTCTACCACTTCGAGATTAGGCTTGATACTTACTGGGTTCACGTTGTTTACGTACTCATACTATACTTGCTGCACTTTTTGTGTAGGATCTGAGATAGGTACTAGTGGAGGACCTATCATCACCTACCCACGTCATCCCGAGGCATAGTGGTGAGCTGCCTTTCTGAGCCGTTCTGTAACTACCAGTGTCTCTTCCTATATTTACATTCTGTCTATTTCATTTCAGACAGTATTTGGAGTTTTGTATAATCTACTAGATGCCCATTCACTTGTGACACCAGGTCTTGGCACACACATTGGTAGAGTTTGGGTTTATATTTTTCTTGGTTTTAAACTTTATCAATGTATGCTAAATTTATTAGTTGGCTTGCCTAGCTGTAGTGTTGGGCGCCATCACGACCTACATGTGAAATTGGGTCGTGACAATATGGTATCAGAGCACTAGGTTTAAGTAGGTCTCACAAGTTATGAGCAGACCTAATAGAGTCTTGCGGATCGGTACGGAGACGTCTGT